CGACGTTTCATTTGAATTAGCAATGATTTATTTTAAAATCGTCTTAACTCGGCACGGGAAGGGTAATAAAATTATTATTTTGGTTTTGGAGTGATATATGTGGATATATTACCTGCCAAGATAAAATATCACCCTCGCCTAACGGCTCGGGTGATATAAAATCTTGACAGGTAATATATCCACATATATCACTCCAAAACCAAAATAACATATAATATACACGGCTGCTGACGATTTATAAAGAAGTCTCGCTTTATTCCACTAAAAATGATGCTTGCTGTATTATAAATTCGTTATAAATATTTCTGACAGGTTATATGGCCGTATATAAACGGTTGTTTGCAATATAACCCTCGCCTAGCGGCTCGGGTTATATTTACAAACAACCGTTTATATAGGGCCATATAACCTGCCAAAAATATTTATAACTAATAATATAAACGTCACGATTATCCAATGAAAAGCGACGTTACAAACGTTCAGTATTATAATACAGTTTAAGAGCTCGTTAAAAACTAATTACTTAAAGAAATTTGCAGTGAATGCGAACTTATATATCGGTGAAGTAGGAAAATGTAAACATAGTAGTATTTTGACTTCATTATAACAAACTAATTCACTATTTAACTGTACTAATTGCTAAAAAGCAACAGAAGCCAAAGAAGCAAAATATTATTGGCCAGTGAGTAACATTTTAGGAACTATATAACAGGACTCTTAAAGTAAACAAATTTTGAGAAATAAAAATAAAAGCATTTCTAGAACAAAAAACATTTTTAAGCTAAGTTTCTCATCTACCGGTATATCAATATCAGACAGTCTTGGTGTTCCATAATTTGACGTCAATACATGACCCAAGATTTATGACCTTACTTTACATGACATTAGTTATGTATTTGACATCGTCATACCTTTAAGGATAGCTTGAACCTCGATGACAATTCGTCGAAATACATCTCATCGAATATGACAGTTAGTCGAATTCGACATTTGATAGAATTGGACAACTTGTTGAATGTGACAAAGCTTTATCTTACTATATTTTACAGAAATGACCGAGGCCCTTCCCTGAACTGATAAATCCCTACTCTGACCTAAACCAGAATTTTTACTTTTGTAATCCACTTATCTGATAGGCCCCTAATTCGAATAAGAGGATTAGGGTTATCACGGATCTTAATTACAAATTATTTGTATATATAAATCCGTGGGGTCATGTAGGGGTTTATATGGATCAGATTTAAAGATAAGTTGACACTAACTAGTAGGAAATGTAGCACGGTTTCCGCGTGGGTTTGTATAAGAACTTCGATCGCATTGTCATGAAACCAAACTGTTAATATGTATTTGAAAGTTACACATTGCGTAAATTGAAAAAAAATATTAGTTTTCTGTCACTTGATTGTCATTGAAAAATCACATTTTGATATAAAATCAATGCCTTTAACACTGATTTATGTTTCTGTTAACCGTTGATCAATTTCACCGCGATGTGATTATCGCCATTTCCGGTTTAAACTGGACATGTATATAATTATCGTTATCTAGTAATAGCAGAACAGCGTTATCTGATAGAAGACAGATAATATTTATGCTTGTTTAAGTCTATGTTTTTATGTGCAACTATAAAGGTCGGTAATTCGGCTGATAAATCATGTCAAAAATATGTAAAATAACGACAGGATGACGGTATTATTGCGTTATGAAAAAAGGTTAAAAACCGCTTGCCTCGAGGCTACCTATTTGCTTAAACACCGTGTGCAGTAGCGCATATAATAACAGCGTTGCTATTGACAACCGCCGACAGTATAATTATCTGTGATGTTATCTATAGCGAGCGGATACGTTGCCTAGCAACTATCGCTTTGTTGTTAAGTACGCACTTGTGTGGGTTAATGTTAAGATTAATTTGAGCGAACTAAAATCGATAAAAAGCACACTTAGGAAAAAAATGGTATCATGTATTATTTACTTCAAATTATGAAATACGAAAGGATATATTTATATTCTTATTAAAATATAAAAATTTCATTTGTAAACGTGTCAAAATCAAAGAAGAACATGTAATTTTAAACTTATTGTAAATCTTAAATTTTGACCAATTTTAAAAGAATAGATTATATAAATTTCGTGTAGAGAAGCATAATTATTATCTCGATAACATAGAAACACGGGCCGAAAAAAGAAAATTATTTTGAACCCCCTTTGTCCAGAAATTATTGGTAATCGATAAATGAAGTTACGTAGTATGCAGTTCAAACAAAAGCTTACTTATTGGTTAACCCACATACGTCTGTGTAACTAGACAATATTGGCGTATTGCCAAAGCGGGGGATTTTTTATGGGCGGGATGTATTCATTTGGTACACGTAAGGCTGAATAGTGGGTCGAATAAAAATATTCTGTGACAGTTTTATAGTTTAAAATTGGATGTGACTAGTGGGATATGTGTATTTAGGTATTGTGTGCTGGATTATTTATTTGACCTTGAGTTATAGATCGAAATGTCCCTATTTTTTATTGGGTCAGCACCTTTTTGCTCTTATAAATATTTACAAGTATCTATTTGTAATTCTAAATATATAATGGCTTTATCATGAAAATTATGATCGTGAAGCCTTTTCATTACGTCATCAATGTTAAATAAATGACGTCATAAATTGAACAATGACGACACTGTTCGGTTCTTAGTTGCGAAATGACTACGAGAAGGTATTTCAATTATTTTAGCTCCCTGTTTACTTATTAATTAAAACAATTAATTTATGTGAATATAAACAGATTTTAAATTCTTTTGAAAATGTAATTCAATCAATTTACAGTACAAATATCAGCTAGTAAAAGAGTATTTCGAACATGAATGTACATGTACAGATTCAGGACTGCCGATCGATAACGGATTACTTTATTCTTTCCAATACAATAGATCGCATTTAAAGTTTCGGCTGACTGCCTTGCAACAATACAGTGTTTGTTCGTATTTCGCACAAAAACACCGTTTATAACCAGACGACCTTTAATTCTTTACGATTACATTTCACGCTTTAATAACGTCAGGCCCTTACCACCGAAAAATTGGCACTGTGCCCAAACCAATAACCGTCGCAAGCGATGTATAATTCTCTCGTAAATCTGACTGCGTGTTACTCGTGTATCTCGACGTGTTTAATAAATCGTGTAAAGTCGCTGTGTAGTGTTGTATAGTTCCCGCGGAAATGTTTGGTCAACATTTAATGATTTATAGTGTGTCATGATAATTTTGGAGATTCTTAGTGTTTTGAAATGGCGGATTGGCGTAATTGAAGGTTGATTTAAGTTTGCTACGCGTAAGTAGGAACTGTTTAAATATATATTTTTTTAATCTGCATTTTAAACTGGTTTAAAGCGCCTGTCTTGGCGTATACATAGAATTAATTTCCTTATCTATGAAGTGTATGGTAATTAGTTTAAGTATTTTGTTTGTTGGCTGCGCGCTGGAAATAGTGTACATCAATACCGTAATGTTCTTAATAAACGTTGATATGTTATGTGAGGAAAAAAAAACATTACCGTAACATTTCTAATAAACGTGATGCATTTTTTAAAAATTGTATATGAATCATAGAATGCATGCGTTTTGATTTAACGCCAATACAGTACTTTGGGGTGGGGCGGCGGCAAAACAGTGTGTTCTTGGAGGGGGTGGGCGGGATGAGGCGAAAGTAAGTCAGATTGCAAAATATATTTTTAACTTTTTTGCGACTTCTCTTTCAATTTTATTTTGAATAGCGAAATGTCTTTGAACATACTTTCCGGAAGTTCGGTTATGATGTGACACGCGAAACACGTGCTATTCAATATTGCAATTTGGAATAAATGAACACGTTACGATTAATGACGGAAAATACTTTTTGTAAGTTTTAGAGAATAATTGACACAACTTCTATGTACTGTAGATAACTTACTGTTTTAAATATTTTTTACCTTTTTAGTATTTAAAAAGTTTGAAAGCGTTGACTTGTATGATATTAATTAAATGCGATATGTTTGTTATAAGGACGTTAAACCTTCATTTTCTCACGATAATTTAAATACATTGTAATAAATGATATTATACATGTCCAATGTCCTAAATAATCAGAGATTATGTAACAGGACAAAAAGAAATTGATAACAACTATGTTCTAGTAATTCAATGTCCTAATAATCAGGGATTAAGTTAACTGGACTAGATGAAGTTGATAACGACAATGTTAATATAAAAATATTCACTGTATAGAAACACGTGCTGCGGTGCACTTCCTGTGATCGAAATTGTGTCCGCTTGCAATATTGAAGTGTATGATACATATTTCACGGAAATTAGAAAAAGGTGCTTGCATGCCTCCAAAAGCCATAGGCATTGAATTGTAGATGTTCAATAAATGATAGTGTTGTGAAAATTGAACTAAGAGAAAAATGCCTTTATTTCATAACTACTGTCATTGGTTGCATGATGTCCGAGTTACGTTTGTAAGAAAATTGCTTGCTCTAAAGCGTTACAAACCTTGCTTAGGCAAAGAGTGAAAATCGTCGCCGGGTATTTTGGTTTCTATTTAGCAATTTATAAGAATCTGTATCAGTAAATTTTACACGGGAACATTCTCATCGTTAAAAGGGGACTGGAGTTATCTGAGAGTTATCTTCATTGTTAACAAAGAGACTCAACGTATTTTTTGTGTTTTTTATCATTGTGATGAATGTGCATGACGTGAGTGACGTCACAATGCACATTTTCGAGTTCACATTTTCTTAAACTTACATGTATAATTTTGATCCGACAATAATAATAATTCGATTAAAATATTTCAATAATTTTAGGTCTTTAAGTCTTTAAGGTGATTAATCTGTCGCATACCGTAGTTATAAATAGAAATGTTATGCTCCGCATCTGCCATGGGGATTTACAAGATTCTTACAAAACATTTTAATACATGGCTACAGTAAACCCTCGGCTAGGCTCTTTAAATTGTTATATCTTTGTTTTGTTCGTAATACAACACCCTTTTTAGGTTTTCATCGCAATATGAATAAACCTTTTAAACATGAATATAGGATATATTTTCCGTACGCTTTATTTGGCAGGCATCCAAATTCTAATGGCCTCCGGCTATGCTGTGTAATGGATCGATAAACAAGTGTTTACTGTCAGTGTTTAACAGTTCACAGCGGTAACCAATAGCAACGCGCTCATTAACCAGTACTTAGACTTGCGGTGATTAATTTCGCCGGAACTGGTTTAAAATTTAAAGATATAAATTCAACAATTGTGTGAAATGAAAGTGATTAATCGTGCATGATTTTGATTATTGAAAGTCATTGCTTATCGGACATTTCGATATAAATTTAACAGTCAATGTAGTTATTGGTATTAAAACGACGTCGTACATACAATATATGACGCGACCGCCGTGACTCGCGACATCATTCATAAGGACGCATTGACGTCATGTAAGCATAAGTTTTCTTTAATCTTGCAGTGAAATTTTAATGGTTTTGATATCTAGGTAAAAATAAGTATGTTTGGAAAACTTGGCATTTTGACAACTACTTCACAACCCATATCGTAAATGATGTTTTTATGTAGCAACCCCGAAATGCATTTGTTTGTTTTTCTCTAAACTAAAAAGTATGTGTTTTAAAACTTATATATATCAGAGTTTTTGAAATAGAAAAGCCCCATATTATAATAAAAAAGGCATTTAACATATGGTTATGTACCATACAAACATGTTTATAAAATTAATAAATTAACAAATACCTATCGGAAATTTATTTTTAGATGGCGCACCTTTAAACTACTAAACAATTTCAACAACGTAGTTAATTTTTGGCTTTGGGCCAAGACAAACATAAATAATTTTTAACCTGGTGTAAATTGGCACGCGTCCAAAAGTGCGATGGCACAGACATTATCAGGGAGTGAGAATATACAAGAGATATGGCGGTAAATTTATAGAAAATGGCAAAACATTTTGCTGTACAGGCAGACTAAAATATAGTTCTGTGGTTCTGGGCAACACAATGTTACGTTATTACTAAATCTAAGACCAAAATTAATTGGAGAACAGAAAGAATTAGTAACGTATGTAATTTGTAATTTAAGTTTTACAAAATGCGCATATTTTGGCAGCAAAGAACGGTTAGCATTGCTGCAAGTTGCATCTATTATTAGGTTCAAATTACCGTATTGATTCTATTTAGCACACGCAATTGTGTTGTTATACCAGCAACAACATGAATTTCGTTCATATTCAACTTTAAAAAAGTTTTTTTCTTCTGTTTATTAATTGTCACATATCAGGCGGCAAGTTGCATCCATATATTGGAAGATGGAAATTACCGTAGTTATCATAATAACACTAGTAAATAAAGCAAACATGAATTTCATTTATATTCAACTTAAAGGCAAATAATGCCTCAGAAATCCAATTGAAATATCAAACATGTTTTATAATTCTTACATAGATCAATTAGGACACTTACAACGAAATAATAATAACGGATATACTCACAAATTCTCAATTCAATTCATACTGATTTTAATGCGATTCTTATCCGGTTTGAGTTATTTTTGCCTCATTTTAAACAATAAAATGATTATTCTGGGGGAAAACGGAGTGGGTGAATGTTTTTAATCTTGCAAATAAATCCATCAGAAGGGTAGACAAATAAATTCGACAAAAATAGTTTGGTCTTGTTAATAAAAAAAACATAGTGACGTCCCTTTAAATATGACGTAGTGAAGTCGCTTTAAAGCACATTATAAATCGTTTGATGCAGTGTTCTTAAATGAAATTATAACTCCATTCATAAATTTGTTCAAGCTCTTATTTTACTAACTTACACACTGAGTATAGTAATTCTTGTTTAGATGCGTTATCTATCTATTATTTATACACATTTATATACAATTATACATGTACATACTTGAATTTTTCAGAGGCAAGACTTTGTGATGTTCCTGAAATCGTGAGCGCATAAATTGAGATGCTGATCCGTGAATACTTATCTTGAATGTTTGCAGTATCTTTTCCATTCCGGGCATGACTATTGGAGTGGTAGGTTACCTTTTCTTATAGTTTCAATGACGTCAAATGATTCATGCGGAAATAATTGGGTATTATTGTGCCAGACAGAAAAATTATTTCGTAAGCTGTACAATACAGTATCTGGTAAAATATGATAAATAGCTAATCACCCATACACATTTAATCATTTTATTGATACATAAAGAATAAATACTTAAGTGTACAAGTTTACGTATTATAGATAGCGTTTTCTTACGTTGACATAATTGTAATTTTTCTTTATTCAGTACATAAAGTGTTCTTAAGAATATGCCTGATTTATAATAAATAAAGACATAACTACATGTACAATGAACTTATTAATAGAGAATCTAGGTTTATAGATTGCAATTAAAAAAAAAAGAACATACTTTCATGCGGACATTTCACTTGATTGACACTATGAACTAGCTATTACATACTTTATTACTAGGTCTCGCATTATAACTTTAAATAAATGTAGTACCAAAACCAGAAATGTACAACATAAAATTCGTCCGAAGTACAAAGTTTACATTTATGCGCTTTCGTCGCTCCAATCTGTTTCTTCCACCTGCCGACTATTTTCCAACTTTAATATTTCTTGATAAAATCACAGGCAGTCGGTGTGAGGCTTGGATATTATACATGTACATAGCATACCACTCCCATTTTTTTGATACTTAAATATTTATTTATTCAAAATGTTTTTAAAACATCAATTTTTTTAGTAAAACAGCAATAATACACAATAAATAACACCAACAGCGATGAATTTTGGGAAAAGGTTGGAATTTGGGAAAGGGCAGTCGTGAAAAATTAAAATTGGGAATTGTAGAGTAACTAATAGGAATTACTAAACACATAATGAATGAAAGTATATCTTCCATTGATAACCATTGTATTCATATTTCCTTGTATACTTTAACTTAATTTCAAGTTGATTCCCTTTTGAACGAAAATATATTATTTTCAAAGATGATAATTGGGATTTTAATGCTTCTCAATTGGGAAAAGAAGAAACATATATATTTACGTAAGAAACAATCATGTGCTCATGCTATGAAGTACAACATATACATGTATGATGTATTTATGTTTAATTGTGCCCTAGACTTGTTCAACTCACAATTTTCTGCCTTTGTGTTTGTAACAGTATTGTGTTTTGTGTATATAAATAGATTCTCCTAAAGAGATGATTTTTGCTGCATTTATTGTTGCTTCTATAAAAGATCAATTGATAATTTTACAGATTATGCAACATCCGGCTATCAAAGCAGAGCGTGTTGATCTGTCGTTGATACCTCCCAGTTACCATCAGCAGCAACAGCTTTTACAACAACAGCAACAACAGCTGCAGCAGCAGCAACAACAAAAACAGCAACAACAACAAAAGAAACCATCCACCAATACTGTGGCTGCCAATGGAGATACGAGTATTGAAACGCAACCAGATTTTCAAAGCATCAAAGGCGTGTTTGGTTGGACAGTTGTCGACAAGATCAATATCCCGTATATTTTACGTAGTGATAAACAGTTTGTTTCAGTGAGAATAGTTGAAATGAAGTTACTAAGCCGGTATCCGAATTCGTATCCGGACGACCTTGGGAAGCAAGCGCCTCTCACTAGTTTCTTTATAACAGCAAACGAAGCAAAACTTTTTAATGAGATTAATCTTCAGCATTGTGCCGGGGAGTATGGTAAGAAAGAGTTTACCACGAAAGATTTAATAGTATTATTGTCCGATTTTATCAATTTCTATAATCTTGTAAAAAAGACGTTTCCAGATGCAGCAGTCGCTAGGCAAGAGGCCGCTGAAACTGCTGGTTGGTTACAGATTAAAAATACGGTAACTCCGTATATAAAGAGACTAGAAAATAAGTTTGTACCACTGTCTGTTATAAAATATGCTGCTGGGTTATTGACTAATGAAAACGTGAGTGGTCTTCCGCCAACGAAGAGAGAATGTGAACTGTTAAACAAAGCGTGTAAAACTGCAGGTGTTGAATTTGTGTTTTCTGACACTACAACGAGACTTATAAATATCAAAGACATTCTTAAGATATCGCCAGTTGATATCATTGAACTGCCGTCAAGTAACCCTTTGAAACATGCAACTTATATGGAATTACCAACGACGAGCAGTAGACCTGTTGAGAAGCCAAAACTAGCAACGTCGCCAGTTCAAAGTACTATTAGACCGCAGAATCAACCATACATGTTCCAGCCTGGTTCCCTTGAAATGATACGAAATCAATTTCAGGGAGCTGGTACTAGGCCGGAGCAAAATGGTGCCCGGTTTCAAATGCCGCCACAGGCAGGATTTCCTGGCAACATAAATCCTCGCATGATTGATCCAAGAATGGCGGACATGTACAGGTTTCAGTATGGAACAAACAGTAGGCCTATAATGTCCAATGGTCCTCCAAATGCTAGAATAGGCCAAATGCCTCAGTATAATCCATTTGTTCCACAAATGAACCCTATGGCAATGCAGTATTATGCAAATATTCAAAACAATCAGAATGGAAGAAACCATGGACAAGCCTCACAACATAACAAAGAAATGTCTCAACAGCGCCCTATGAGCAACGGACAAGAAACTTCACCAAGAACTCAATCTAGACCATCCTCTGGGTCTGTTTCCCAGTCAGGGTCTCGACCACCGTCAACATCAAGGCCACCTTCAGAATCGCCTTTAGGATCTCCTTTGTCGCCTACGAGTTTCCAACAATTTCCAAGGTCTGTTGGTTTGTCTCCGGTTGCTGATACACTTACAGGAGGTCCGATGCCGATGTTAAATGGTGGTCTTGCGATTCAGCACATGCAGAATATGTGCGCGCAAAGGTTCCCAGTGTCAAGGGAACAGATACAATCATCAGTTGGTCAAAATCCACCATTCCAAATGGGCATCGCAGGGCATCCACATCATGATCCAAATGTTAATAAGCATGTACAGCTGCAATCTACAAATAATCCGATTCCACCTCATGTGCAAAGAACTATACCCCCTAGTGCTAATCAAGAAATTCCTGGACTGTTTAGTCCAACAGGTTCAAATGTTTCCCCGCCAAAACAAAGTATGCCAGGACGTGAAACCACACCCCTCCCGCCTTTGCAATTGATGTCGAGTCCGCCACCCGCATCAGTTACGAAAACCGTGTCTCATGATTTAACCTCTCCCGGCCAAATGTTAAGTCCCAGTTTGTCAGTTACACAATCCTCCGATGTAGTGGTTCCCGTCCTAGATGATTCAAGTACAGTTCTTTCAATGCCTGCACAAAGGAACCAGCCATTACCAACCACGATTTCTGCAGCAAAACCGCAGGTGTCACTCGTGAAATGTATAGAAGGTGCATGGCTTAACAATAAAAGCATATCGTGTCTATATTTAGAACAAGATGGTCGGAATGGACGATATTGTCTTGTAGAGGCAGTGTGTAAATTGTACTTCAATGGTTGTAGTGTGAACGAATTTCTTTTTGCGCTAGAAAACGTGTTAAATGTGCCATTAATGACCTGCAATGAAACGGAGGAGAAAGCTTTTATTCAGTATTATAGTTTACCAGTAGTGACTTTAAAGTGTAACAAAATGATAAAATTCGATGACCTGGAGAAGTACTTCCCGCAGTTGACTTACATGTTTCCCAGTAAAGAAGCGATAGCACAAAGTGAAGGTGAACCCGATCAAACTGACTTATCCGACGCTGTTGAAATGGCTGGTCATACGATTGGCCTTACAGCTGAGGAAATTGAAGCATCTATGCCGGCAACTATGAGTCAGCTGAGTGCGCATGTCGGGGAGAAACGGGCCGGTGATCCATTGTTAGATGGTATAGCATCTAAACACAAGCGCTTAGGAGGTAAGGTTGAAATGTTATTGCTTTTTCACTGATATATTAAGAAGGCAGCGCTGCCATAGAATAATTATTCTAATATATATTAATATTATATATAACTTTATATAGTAATAGTTGTAGGCGTTTAATAAATCCAGATATGACGGAATTTACATTGTTACACAATAATTCCTCATAAACCGATATATTGTGATGATATATAGGTAATAATAATATATTTATAGAGCTTTGTTATATGAATGGCCATTAATATTTTCTTTGTAAAGAAATAATGCAATTCATTTCAGCGGTCTCCGCTATAAAACTTAAGCTTTTTTATGCCCCCCGCCATGTAATGGCCGGGGCATATAGTGTTACCCTGTTCCGTCCTTCCGTCATTCCGTCCTTCCGTCATTCCGTCATTCTGTCATTCCGTCATCATCAGTTTCCGTTCATTATCTTAGTAACGGTTGCACATATTCAACTCAAATTTGACATATGGATATGTCATAAGAAAATACAGGTCAAGTTCGAATTTGGTCATGGTTCGATGATTTTTGGCAGAGTTATGCCCCTTTTACTTTGAAAATAATATGAAATTTTCAGTTTCCGTTCATTATCTCCCCAACGGTACAACCCATTCAACTCAAATTTTACATATGGATATGTCATGAGAAAATACAGGTCAAGTTCGAATTTTGTCATGGTTCGATGATTTTTGGCAGAGTTATGCCCCTTTTACTTTCAAAATAATATGAAATTTTGAGTTTCCATTCATTATCTCCACAACGGTACAACACATTCAACTCAAATTTGACATATAGATATGTCATTAGAAAATACAGGTCAAGTTCGAATTTGGTCATGGTTCGATGATTTTTGGCAGAGTTATGCCCCTTTTACTTTGAAAATAATATGAAATTTTCAGTTTCCGTTCATTATCTCCCCAACGGTACAACACATTCAACTCAAATTTTACATATGAATATGTCATGAGAAAATACAGGTCAAGTTCGAATTTGGTCATGGTTCGATGATTTTTGGCAGAGTTATGCCCCTTTTACTTTGAAAATAATATGAAATTTTGAGTTTCCATTCATTATCCCCACAACGGTACAACACATTCAACTCAAATTTGACATATGGATATGTCATTAGAAAACACAGGTCAAGTTCCAATTTTGTCATGGTTCGATGATTTTTGGCAGAGTTATGCTCCTTTTACTTTGAAAATAATATGAAATTTTCAGTTTCTGTTTATTATCTCCCCAACAGTACAACACTTTCAACTCAAATTTGACATATGGATATGTTTTTGGAATGCCCAGGCCCAGTTCGAATTTGTTCATTGTTCAATGATTTTTGGCAGAGTAATGCCCCTTTCACTTTGAAATTAATATGAAATTTACAGTTTCTGTTCATTATCTACCCAGCAGTGTTACATATTCAACTCAAATTTGAAATATGGATATGTCAAAGGAATGGGCAGGTCAAGTTGGAATTTGGTCATGGTTCGATGAATTTTTTGGCAGAGTTATGTCCCTTTCACTTTGAAAATAATATAGATACATCTTAGGAATAAGCAGTTTAAGTTTGAATTTGGTCGTGGTTCAATGATTTTGGACAAACTTATCTTTCTTGTTTCAGCACTCATACTTTTGTGGAAATGTATGTAGCCATTATTTTGGCTACAAATATGAAATATGCTATTTTCAAAAGGTTAAGACTGAATAATTTCAGTGCCTTCAACATTGTATGGAAATGGTTTGTGTTAACATTGAAAAGTTTTAAGGGCTTTGAACTTTAAATGAAAACAATAATTTGTGCAAACAAATTTGGAACTAAATATTATAACATCTGAAATTTTGGCTGCATGCGGGGGCATCCGTGGCATGATGACACATTTCTAGTTTACTGTAGCTGTGTAGGTTTTGTTTTATGTAGCACCTTGCAATCTTGAATTGATTACTGAATGGTATAACTATATTAAAGTTGAACTGCTTTATTATTGAAAATACCGCAACCGTTGAGAACCGCTTGATTTGTAGGTACGGCTGCCGAAGACAATGACGTCATTGTATTAGATTGAAGAACATGAACGACAAGGAACACGGACCAAAACATTACACCAAAGACCAAAAGATTTAAGAAGAAATGAGAAGTTGAAGAATAAATGCGTTGCCAAGGGGTGCTAAAGATCACAGCGGTGATTGGAAATGGTCTTGCGGGCGAAACAATCAAATAGACATAACTCTATGTACATGGATATGAACATCCTTTATGTAGAGGGTAAAACCAGATGATCATAAAGAGTATTGTTAACTGTATAACATATGACATCATGTTTAATGTGATGTCATGTTTATAAGCGCAACAAATGTGATATCATTTACAGTTTATAGATTTTTGGCAGAATATACTAGACTTACAATGTTAAGAAAGGGAGTCTCGGTTCTCGATTTTTTTCTGGGTTGAAGTCGTAAGATAGGCTTATCGGCTGTCAATAATTTTGAGATTATATTGTTTATTAAGATTTGAAATTGTTAGTAGTAAATGGAAAGGCGAAGTCCTGAAGTTGTCTCAATGTTATATTCAAAATGCTCGAGGTTGTGTCGTAAGCCGCAGCCTCGACATTTATTCATTGATAAACTGTCTCGTAATGTTTTGTTCAAGAATGTATGTTTTTTGTTCATGAGAAGATAGAAAAAAGTTGTCTTTCACATTTTGATCAGTTTGTACAGTTTTTTTTCAGCAAAATTTTGATTTTGATGTTTTCCCTATGTCACTCTTAATCTCGAAGTAACTTAATATGATACTTGTGTACACCTATGGCGTTTTAGTTTCTTTGCAACGGAAAAAATGGCGCGCAGGTTTAAACCTATTTTGAGGATTTTTAGACTTAAATCATTCATTAACTTAATACATTCATTGTACGATGATATTCAATCTATTCTGCAATTTTCATTGTTCATTCTCTTTTCTTATGTTTCAAAATCCATGGAAGACTACATAATTTTTTGCATAGTGCCATATTAAGTTGAACAGCAGTTGGACTTACTGGCATTTGAAATTAAATTCAGTTTTAATTCACAATAAAATAATAATCGACAGATTAACACAGTTGTTAAAAATACAGTAAACTTAAGAAATCTTCATCAGAATTTAGTAAACGTTCCTTTTAAATGTTTAGTTGACGATATGCTAATTTTGTCAGCTATAGTAAATATTACGGTTATTTAGCACATATTTTAACCCCTACTGCGATAAATATAAATGTATATATCTAAAATGGAATCGTTCAATATTTGAATCTGGACGGAACCATTTATCAATTATAGGGAAAATTTAAGGTTAGTATTGACTGAATAGCGCGAACAGGGCAGGCCATGACCAGACGGCACGAATGTACCGGCAGATCTTGGCCTGAACTTGTCGCCATGGTAAGAAACTTTTGGCACCCGCATGCCAGAGTGTCCAAAAACTTCTGTTTTTAATCTACCTGACTTGAGAGTTGCAAATACGAAATAATAATGAAGAAGCAAGACTTGGTGCAATAAGAGAAAACAACTTTTTGTAACCTTTGACCTGTTGGAACTGTCAATGATTAGCCTTTGTCACCAGTATAGAGTCTAACCAGACTGCACGTGGACCCGTGCAGTACATGATTCTACAGGTTAAGGGTTAAAAACAATCCGGAATACTTGCATGTTTATAAATTACGTTTGTACCATACCATATCATCTAACTGTGCTGTATTTGAAGTAGTGCTATGTTGACTTGTTTTGTATATATTCATTATTGTTTAAATCAAAATTTAGGTAATAACTATTGTTCTATTGCAATAAATAGGCAAAGTTTTCATGTTTTCTACACGTATATATATTTTTTAATTGTCCATGACATGCAATGTTCTTTTGTTTATATCCATTTGTTTTGTACACAATTATGTTCAAAATCTCGGGGCATTCATTCTTTTTAAGTATTGAAATTCTAAATTGTATGTTTTTTTTTGTTTTGAATGTTTAACAACAATTGTTAACTATTTAAGATTAACACATGCTTCTTGAATTTTATCATTATATTTAATTCTTATCATTTCCGGATTTAAAAAATAAACATACATAATGGTCTATAACTGCTTAGATGTGGTTTGTCTAAAATAGTGCACTGATGTGCAGCTGGGATCGTCGGATTCGATCGTCGGACTCGTCCGGAACCGGCGCAGAACTGGAAAAAAAATCGCCATTTGCGCCATATGACACTTACATTGCCGGCATGGTGAATTTAACCAAAGACCAAAATATAACGTAGTGTTTTTTTTTCTCTCAAATATTGTGAATGATATATAAGTATAAAAACATTGATTTGAAAATTATTAACGAGTTACACGTATTGTAGAAAGATAAACATGTGTTACATATGAAAAAGCCATATTGTTGTTTAAAGATGATGTATGTATATTTTTTCTGTTTCAATAGTCATATTACATGTATTGGTATATGGTAGTCAAAAATTGACTAAAACTTGGAAAGGCCTACGTAGTAATTAGAAATGACTATGGAAGTTTACATTTCCCAGATTTTGTAATATTCAATAATGACGCTGATTTGATAATATGTTAACCAACTACTATCTTTCTTTAATAAAACAAACATTATATCCTTCAAACGATTGAAAAATGGTAGATAAAAATGGGCGATTAAAACGGTATTAGATATTATTTTTTTACTTCGATTCTAGAGTGGCTTGTTAATTATGTTGGAATTTTCATTTAAAAAACACTATATTCACCATTTTACTGTTTTATTTTGTTATATATGTATATGTGTGTGTATAAAGATATGTTTTAGACAGTTGCATTTCTATGTTATGTGTGTTAAAGATTATGTACTGTTTATTTCGTTAGATCTAACTGCATTGACTTACAAGAAAAGGGGCATTAACTGCGAAAGCCAGAACTTGCATTTGATGTTTATGATGTTCATAGATACTTTATTTTTCACATTTAATCTCTATACGTTTAACAAATGAGCCGCGTCACAACAAAACCAACATAATGGGTTTGCGGCCAGCATGGATCCACACCAGCCTGCGCATCCGCGCAGTCTGATCAGGATCCATGCTGTTCGCTTACAAACCCTATAACAAGTAGAGAAAGTGATAGCGAACAGCATGGATCCTGATCAGACTGCGCGGATGCGCAGGCTTGTCTGGATCCATGCTGGTCGCAAACCCATTATGATGGTTTTGTCATGACACGGCTCAAATCTTGGGTTAGTCACAAACCCTGCAAACAATGTCTCTACTTTTGATTTTATATTCGTTATTAATATTTGCAACCAATATTTCACAAATCACATTATTTATTTTAATATTTCTAACTAATATTGTTACCAATATTTCACAGATGACGGTGTTTATTTCAATATTTGCAACCAATATTTCACAGATCATATTGTTTTCATCAATATTCCTAATTAATATTTCACAGATGACATTGTTTATTTCAGTATTCCTAATTAGAATTGCAACCAATATTTCACAGATGACATTGTGTTGATTTCAATATTCCTAATTAATAATGCAACCAATATTTCACAGATAATATTGTTTATTTCAATATTCCTAATTAATATTTCAACCAATAGTTTGTGCATAGTGATCAAAGTTGCCATATAATAATAGAATGTTTATGATTCAAAACATTATAACTAATATTTTAATGATTATAGATATCTGCCTTAATACTTTAGCCAATATATGGTCTAATATGGCTGTGATTATCATTTTTTTCTGCCAGTTATACAAATGCAACTTAATATGCCATAAAATTTGCTATAGAGGATGCTCAAAAATGATTCGAGAAATTTAAATGTGTTTGGAAAGAAAGAAACAAAAAACAAATTGAAATGCACGTATTTAACTATTTAAATTTTTTATCAAAGAATTCCCGCTCATTTAAATGACACAAGAAGGTAATTCAATTTAAAGAGCAAGCGGTAACGTGTATCCCCCCCAATGATTTACAAATTAATTCGTAAATATTTTTCTTTTACATATATTGTTTTACGGGGCAATCCTATCTCGATGGAACCATATGTACAGAGTGTAGTATTTCGTTATTTCTTAGTTGAAACTCCATATTTATTAAAATCAACAGGAAAAAAAACTGAAAACAAACATGGACGTTCTTTGGCCTTAAACCGTGTTTTAATAAATATAACCTAAAATCAATAAACGCACGTAAAGGTCACGCGACAGCGGGAGTTGAAAATCGATATTTCATCGACCGATTCTTCTCCGATAATTTAGCGGTATATAGTTACGAATTAGGCAATCAGTTCAGTCAATGCGTTAATTACAGGTTATATATTTTTCAAGCATTTTACGTTCGTAAAATCACTAACCAATTGAAAGACCCTGTCTCATTCAAGTGCTTTTTCTTCTTTCGTTTTAAAAGATTACTGGTTTTTGTTTTATTTCATGATATTATGATAAGGGTAGTTAGAAAAAAAAGAAAGAAACGAATCAAAATGTTTAATCTTTACAAATATTTGCATTATTATATCATACAAAATACTGCACGTACATGCCATATCTATTTTTAGAATCATTACATTTTTATTTTTCTATATCAATTACTTGCACGGAGTTAAAAGTTTCGCCATTTCCGTGCACATGTAATTAATGGTTCATTTTTGACTTACTGCCAAGTTAAATATTTGTATTATTTTATTGTAGAAGTTATCATAAAGTCAACAAAAGCTTACAATTAAAGCAGCATGCCTCCAGATTTAGGTTAATTTTCGTGAAAATTTAAAATCGTCATACAAATGGAAAAATGATAGAGAGAGAGAGAGAAAAAAACAACAAAAAAAAACCCCCAACAACCTTATGAGTTGCCATATAACGTATTCTAAGTTAGCAACAGGCGCTTAAAATTCACATAAATAGAATGAGATGTGCTTAAAAATGTGCCCTCATATTAACTATATATACCTATTCCGTTAGTAACGGGGTAAAACTGACGGTGAAAAAACGTATTTATCACGTGACATCACTTCTTTTCAATGTAATATAACCATTTCGTATTTATCTTAATGTCACTTTTTGTGTAATATAAATTCGTCGCACTTCATTAACTTTTATGGGTTTTCGTCATGTGGTAAAAACAATCTCTGTAATTATAGAATTTATTAAACTTTTCAAACAAAATATGTGACCACAATTTCTTGAAACCCGTTAATAACACATTGTAAAATTTTATATGGCAACTCGTGTGAGATGTAATATATTTTTTACTAACATTAACTCAATCAAAGGGTCGTCCTTTTTTGTCATTTTTTTGCATTGTTTATATAGGTTTCGAATATCGAACAAATACGTTTTTCTTCCTTTTAATAGAAACTGGGTTCGCTAATCTGGAGGCGTAAATCTGTCACTGTGTATTGTTTTATTAAAACACAAAAGCACGGTTTTGCGATGTATTCTTTTTCTTTTGTTTATTGGACTAGACAAAAAATTCATTGGCGTTAATTCATGTTACTATTTCAGTTCATTTTGACAAATGGGTAAAAATACGGTAACTGGTATTTTTATGTTATTTTTTTTCTGCGTAATACGCCAATCAAGAAAATATTTGATATCATATGTTTGTTCATAAATGTACATGTATATACATATATTTAAAACACACATTTTTGGTCCACAACTTTGTAGAAATGGACCAAGAAAACATTGTTGATAATAATTGTTCAATTATTCGTTTTTAATGAATAAAAAGTCAAACAACGCTATTTTTCAGTGTTTCTTTAATCTTTTGATATAGCGCACACATCTAGCATGCATACATGCACATTCAGGATTGTTAAATTATGTTATGGCGCGGCTCCAGGATTAGGGGATTCGGGTCGTAAAATTTAGACAAGGGTAATAATTATGTTGTTGACTTTAAACCACTTGCAGATTGCCGCTGTGGGTTCGAATCCCGAAAGTGATTTTGGATTCTTTAATGTGAGGAACATATCTAGCTGGCTGGTTCTACTCGCGTGACCGTTCTTGCTTGGAATAATGCATGGAAGGAAATCCGAGGTCTTCCTCCACTATTAAAGCTGGAAAGTCGCCACATGACCTATACTGTGTTGGTGCGATGTAAAACCAAACCAAAAATAAAAAAGCTTATAAAGACCTGTTTTAACATCTTCTATGCTTGATTTCAAGGGAAGACGTTGAAATTTGCTTGTTTTAAACATGAATAAATTATTGGCAGAGATATAACATTAATCGACGAAGCCGATCTTAAACACATTAGTTATTAAATTATAAACGTTGCTGAAAAGTGCCAAAATGATGAAAAAAATAACCTGGTAAGTTTTCAGTATTTTATTTTATAAGAGTATGTATGTACAGTGCAGCCAGAAAACTGCATTTTATGCATATATGCATACAAGGAAATTGCACGTTATTCACGCTAGTCGCAGGTGCTGCTTTTAATTAACCCAACTTGCTCGCAATTATAAAACACGGACTTCACCTGAAAAAATTGAGTCTCACAATTTTTTTCATTTATTGCATGCTCAAGTTGTTACCATCATTCTCTTGGGAAATCTCCCCTGCAGAATTTTTTTATCGATTGATTTGATGACGTCATACATTGCAATTTATCCCTGATAAATTAATGAGTTTTGTCAGCATGCTGGTGGCAACCAGTGCAATGATCAGCCGGCACCTTCTGATTATGGTCTGCACAATGCAGACAGTAATTGTTAAAGGTCTGATTTAATTTTTTTTTTATTTAAAACCACTGTCTGCTGTTTACATTATTTTTAAACGTCCGTTAAGATGATAATTAAAGGCACATTATGCCTTAAAACGAATACAATTTTCATTCTTTAAGAAGAGCATAGATATGAGATTTGTTCCTGTAAAATAATGGTTTAAGATCATGTTAGGTGCCTAAAATTACCGCTGAATGTAAAATTACTTGTAATTAAAGTATAGCAAAATGTGAACAAAGTAGTATTTTGACTTCCATACAAAATGCTAACTCACTACAATTGTACTAATTGTCAAAAAAAAAAAACAACAACAAAAAACCCCCAAAAAACAAAAAATCGAAACAAAAGCTGATTAATGTTAATGGCCAGTGAGTATATTGTTTTGAAACAATAATGGAACACCGGAAATAACAGGGCTTTTGAGAAATTTAATTAAAAGCACACCAGGGCATAATGTGCCTTTAAAAAGTTTTGTCTAGATTGAAAGATATAATAAGTGATGGTTACTTTAGTTATTTAGTGCGATAAGGTTTTCATCTACAAAACTGGCTTCATGATGAGTAGTCTTTTTCTTTGGGTGCCTAAACCGATTTATTAAAATTTAATATATTATTTTTAAAAGCTCGATCTTTATGTCGACCTCTTGCAACTGGTAAGAACATTTTCTATCTGAGCATCTGACATTATATATAGCTCTGTGTCACTTAAATAAACCAGAGAAAAAGCTTCAACAATATGTACAAATCAAGTCATTAAGCAATACGTTAAAAAACAAAAACGAAAAGAGTTTTTTTGGAATTCCTGAAAAAAGAAAAAGAAAATTAAATAGATAAATCTTTATTTGTTTTAGAATTAGAGAAATAGGTCAGGATCGGACTAATCAATGGCTAATTAAGCAGTTCTTTCAGTAAGGTTTTAATTAAAGGTATCCATAACAATATTGCAAAATAATGAAATAAAGATAATGAATGGCTTACATCATGTCTTATTATATTGGGAAGCGCCAAAGATACTTTTATAACAGTAATATTTCTAGTATGTTTTCACATAATTCTCTTTCACCTTCATATTGCACATTATTTTTTTTCTACTTCATAAGACATCTCTCAAACCAATTAACATGTAATATACGACCATTGAGGTATACACCAAGTTATATACCATGTCCGATCATTTAAGTCTATATACTATGTTAGGTTATTGTCATTTTTGGTATTTCAAGTATCATCATAATTTACGTCTATACTACGTCAAGTAATGATATATAGATATTTACTATGTCGGGTATCATCATTATTTAAGTGAATTACATCATTTAGGTCTATACCATGATAGGTAATGATTATTTTGGTATATACCATCTCGTGGTATCATCATAATTCAGTTCTATACCATGTCAGATATCATAATTTAGGTATTTACCTTGTCAGATATCATAATTTAGGTATTTACCTTGTCAGATATCTTAATTTAGGTATATATCATGTCAAGTAATGACTATTTAGGTATATACCATGTTAGGTATCATCAGTATATACCATGTCAGGTATCATCATAATTTAGTTCTACACTATGTCAGATATCATAATTTAGGTATATACCATGTCAAATGTTATCATAATTTAGGTATTTACCTTGTCAGATATCTTAATTTAGGTATATATCATGTCAAGTAATGACTATTTAGGTATATACCATGTTAGGTATCATCAGTATATACCATGTCAGGTGTCAACATAATTTAGTTCTACACTATGTCAGATATCATAATTTAGGTATTTGCCTTGTCAGATATCTTAATTTAGGTATATATCATGTCAAGTAATGACTATTTAGGTATATACCATGTTAGGTATCATCAGTGTATACCATGTCAGGTATCATCATAATTTAGTTCTACACTATGTTAGATATCATAATTTAGGTATTTACCTTGTCAGATATCATAATTTAGGTATTTACCTTGTCAGATATCTTAATTTAGGTATATATCATGTCAAGTAATGACTATTTAGGTATATACCATGTTAGGTATCATCAGTATATACCATGTCAGGTATCATCATAATTGAGTTCTACACTATGTCAGATATCATAATTTAGGTATATACCATGTCAAATGTTATCATAATTTAGGTATTAACCTTGTCAGATATCTTAATTTAGGTATATATCATGTCAAGTAATGACTATTTAGGTATATACCATGTTAGGTATCATCAGTATATACCATGTCAGGTGTCAACATAATTTAGTTCTACACTATGTCAGATATCATAATTTAGGTATTTGCCTTGTCAGATATCTTAATTTAGGTATATATCATGTCAAGTAATGACTATTTAGGTATATACCATGTTAGGTATCATCAGTGTATACCATGTCAGGTATCATCATAATTTAGTTCTACACTATGTCAGATATCATAATTTAGGTATTTACCTTGTCAGATATCATAATTTAGGTATATACAATGTCAGATATCATAATTTAGGCATATATCATGACAAGTAATGACTATTTAGGTATATACCATGTTAGGTATCATCAGTATATACCATGTCAGGTATCATCATAATTTAGTTCTACACTATGTTAGATATCATAATTTAGGTATTTACCTTGTCAGATATCATAATTTAGGTATATACAATGTCAGATATCATAATTTAGGCATATATCATGTCAAGTAATGACTATTTAGGTATATACCATGTTAGGTATCATCAGTATATACAATGTCAGGTGTCATCCTAATTTAGTTCTACACTATGTCAGATATCATAATTTAGGTATTTGCCTTGTCAAATGTTATCATAATTTAGGTATATACAATGTCAGATATCTTAATTTAGGTATATATCATGTCAAGTAATGACTATTTAGGTATATACCATGTTAGGTATCATCAGTATATACCATGTCAGGTATCATCATAATTTAGTTCTACACTATGTTAGATATCATAATTTAGGTATTTACCTTGTCAGATATCATAATTTAGGTATATACAATGTCAGATATCATAATTTAGGCATATATCATGTCAAGTAATGACTATTTAGGTATATACCATGTTAGGTATCATCAGTATATACCATGTCAGGTATCATCATAATTTAGTTCTACACTATGTCAGATATCATAATTTAGGTATATACCATGTCAAATGTTATCATAATTTAGGTATTAACCTTGTCAGATATCTTAATTTAGGTATATATCATGTCAAGTAATGACTATTTAGGTATATACCATGTTAGGTATCATCAGTATATACCATGTCAGGTGTCAACATAATTTAGTTCTACACTATGTCAGATATCATAATTTAGGTATTTGCCTTGTCAGATATCTTAATTTAGGTTATATATCATGTCAAGTAATGACTATTTAGGTATATACCATGTTAGGTATCATCAGTGTATACCATGTCAGGTATCATCATAATTTAGTTCTACACTATGTCAGATATCATAAATTTAGGTATTTACCTTGTCAGATATCATAATTTAGGTATATACAATGTCAGATATCATAATTTAGGCATATATCATGGTCAAGTAATGACTATTTAGGTATATACCATGTTAGGTATCATCAGTATATACCATGTCAGGTATCATCATAATTTAGTTCTACACTATGTTAGATATCATAATTTAGGTATTTACCCTTGTCAGATATCATAATTTAGGTATATACAAATGTCATATTATCATAATTTAGGCATATATCAATGTCAAGTAATGACTATTTAGGTATATACCATGTTAGGTATCATCAGTATATACAATGTCAGGTGTCATCCTAATTTAGTTCTACACTATGTCAGATATCATAATTTAGGTATTTGCCTTGTCAAATGTTATCATAATTTAGGTATATACAATGTCAGATATCTTAATTTAGGTATATATCATGTCAAGTAATGACTATTTAGGTATATACCATGTTAGGTATCATCAGTATATACCATGTCAGGTATCATCATAATTTAGTTCTACACTATGTTAGAT